GGGGACGTTTATTCTGCCACAGTGACTCGGTTTAATGAACTCTCCCACAGCTGGTGTTCTGACGTGAGCCCCGGGAGGACAAGCAGAGTGCTGGTGTTTGCCTGTGTGCACAGGGTGTCACCTGCAGCAAAGGGCCCCCACACACCACCGAGCTGGGCCCTTCCAGAGTGCAGGGTCCCCGCCATGCAGCTGGGCTGCAGCCCCTTCCCCAGGGGTGGCACGTGTGCCTGGCACACATGGGGAAGGTGACAGAGCAATTGCTCCTGTCCTCCAGGCAGTCTGGAAGAGAAAATAAAATCCAAGTTGCTGTCCACAGGAGAGGCAGGCAAAGGGGTCTTCAGTGAGCAGCTCCCAGTTTATCCTGCAGGACCATGGGTTACCTTTGCCTGTCTTGTTTTTTTTCCTGCGTTTTCCTCCCAAAAGCCTCTGTACACTGAACATCTACTCACACAGATAAATCTACCCAGCAGATAAATGGAGATGATTCTAATGAGAACACAGTGAATAACTCCTCCTGCCCCTGCCCATACCTCAGTTAATGCTGCAATGCTCTGTGGGAGCTGTTGTCCTTCTCTATGCTTTGTGCTCCTGTTTGCCCTTGACTCCACTTGGAGAAAGTAATGAATGAGATGTGCTGGGCCTTTGTTTGCAGCCTGTGTGAGATACTCAGGGTGCTTGGTGCTGAAGGGAAACATTTGTTGATGGAAAATAATGAATTTTATTGACTTCCAGAGACGGGGAAAAAAGATGATTAAATAATTTCAGTGTTTTGAGGTCTGGACTTTTAGCCAAGATGATCTGGCAGATGATGGAGGGGATGAATAGTCTGGGCAACTCGCACAAAACACAAGGGTTGTCGCTGCTCAGAGGGCAGGATCAGGGCAGAGAGGCTCTGCCTGGCATCCAGCACTGGGGGAATGCAAAGGGACTGACAGTGTGGTGTCTCCCCTGGCTGCAGGTACTGGGATGAATTCCACACCTGTGCCCTGGCAGCGCTCTGGGAATGCCAGAAGGAAGCGGCAGCCGTCTGGGAGATGCTGAGAAGGGAGTCCCGAAAAAACAGGTTTCAAGGCAGCTTGTTCGACCTCTGCAGCCCCAGCATGGCCCAAAGCTCTGCCTGGACCCACGTTCCCAACGTTTCCATCCTCAGTATCCCCCTCATCGTCACTTGGGTGAACTTATAAACCGCAGCTCTGTGAGTATCCCAACAAAGGCAGTGGCAGTTTGTGCCGTGGCATCTTTCTGATGGTTTTTCCAAACCTGAGGAATGTCCTGTGTGGAGCTCAGAGACACTCAGCTCCATCCTGCACCTGTGGGACATGGGAGAGCTTGGCAGAATCTCCTGGGTGTTCCTGTTTGTCTGTAATTTGGAATAATGCCTGTCCATTTCTGCTTCAAGACACAGATCTGGCTGTCTGGAGAATTTGGGAGCTTATAGATATGGGGCAGAGGACTTAGGGAAAAGGGATAAATTCTGGAAAAATGGCAAATGTTGGACTCTTTCCACTCTTCTATGGCTACTGGAAGGAAACCTGTTTACTTTGCTGACTATTTCCACCAGATCAACTCTCCAGGCTTTGGATTTGGGCACTGAAAACAAGATGGGCATTTTGACCACTGAGGTGCAAGGGGTGGTGTCTGTCCTGTCACAGGCAGAAGGGAGATTTTCTGCCCTGCACTGGCCCTTTTGCTTTAAGGACATGGTGAAACCCCTGCTGAAGAATAATCACAGCTGCATGACTTGCCTTGCACACATCTGGATTCCTGAGCAACTCCTGTGTTATGTGTAAATCCCTTTTCTAAGGACATAGAGGGTAAATACATTTTGAGGGAAGGAGAGTGTCAAGATAGCAGGACAAAAGGGATTTATAGCAACTCCTGCTTTGAAGCTTTCCCCAAGGTACCTGTAAGCAGCTCTGTGGGTGGAAGTGTGTAATTCCAGAGTATTAAAGTGTGTTGTAGAGCCTACAGCATGGTAGAAGTTGTTTGTCCTGGCTTTTGCTCAACAGCACAATTTCTTCTTTTGCAGCTCAGAATGTTGTTAGTTTTGCAGCTTCAGTACAAGCCTGGAAATATTTGGAACAGAGGGGTGTTTGCCAGTGATTTCTATATTAGAGAAACACAATATTCTTGGGCAGTCCAAGGCAGTGTGTGTTTTAAGGATGCTGCTGGAGCTCTGTGCCCTCCTGGCTGCTCAGGGCCCTGGGAGCTGTGACAAGTAGGGGATGTGCTCTACAATGTGACAGGGACCCTGGGCCCTGCCAGCCACACAGACCCCACTGGATGCATTCCAGGTGGTGGGCAAGCTTCTCCAGCGAAGGATCTTTTTGCCAACACTGGTGCTGGGTCATCCCACTCTCCTTTGGCATTCACATGTTCTTCCTCTTACCTTCACTACCACCAACACTCTGCTCCTGCAGCAGCAGGAGGGAACAAATAAATTGAGGCAAATTTCAAGAAATAAGTCAGGGGGAAGCAGCTGGTGTTCAGACACACTGCAACTTGACTTTCTGCAGACAAGAGAGTTGTTACTTACGTACTCAGTACTGAGCATCTGGGGCACAAAGCCTTGGGGTGAGCAGTGGAGATGGGGAAACCAGAGCGTGGCAAAACCTGGAGTGAACCGCTCAGATGCTTCATTCTTTAATTCTTCTTCCACTCCAACAGCAGTGTTTGTTGTTTGATCCTGTTCCCCCTGCCCTGTTATCTCTTTTCCTGCCTGTGGCTTGTAGCTGGGGAAAGCTGGAGCAGGTGAGAGTCACACAATACCAAGGCTGGAGTATTTTGGATCCAAATACTTGTTCTTTGTTTAAAACAGCTGTTTAATGCCTTTAGGAAAACAAATAAGCACAGCCCCCCAGTATCCCACAACCCTTACCTTCTCTTTGATTCTGGAGTTCCTCTCTGTAAAAACTTTCTGCTCTAAAACAGCTTTGAGGAAAGGGAAGGTAAAATTCTCAGATCTCCAAGTCTTCTTTTTGCAAAACCACGGATGCAAATGGCTGGCTGACACTGCCACTGTCTTTGAGAAGAGCAGGTGTTGGGACATATCTTCCCTGGAAGCAAATCCCTCAACTACTGCACATAAAAAAACCCAAAGATTCATTAAGGAACAAAGACCATCTGTCACTGTTCTGGTATGGAGCAGCAGATTTTTTTTTTTAAAGCCAAAGGTGCTTCTAAATCTGACTGAAAGCATGTGAGAGAAAATTAGGTCTCACAGTATGGGAGTGATGAGTTTCCTCAATCAATATTTCATTTTTAGCAGAACTTCCTCTATGAGTAGGACAATTACAGTAGAATTCCTTTAAAGAAAGGTAATACCCAGATGCAGTCCCCCTGGGCAGTCAGAGAGCATTTCTGACCCTACAGCACAGTTCCTGCTGATGCAGTGCAGCTCATGGGATGTCCTGCAGCCTCAGTGTGAAATCCACATTTGTCAAGGATTCTTCTCCTGGCCTTGCCCTGAGTCTCTCCAGATGCAAAGTACCCAGGGAGGCTGCTGAAGCAGTTACAGCATATCTTGTGCATTCAAAAAGAAAGGGTAAGTGTTCCTCGGTCCAAAGTCTTCATCTCTGTTCTTGCAGGGGATCAAAGGTAGCAGCTCTGTTAATGTGGGCTCACAGCAACTCTGGGATCAGCTGGAAGAATGTGCCTTTCCCTCCTCGGTCTCACGTTCTCTGTAATTAGTCTTTAGCTCCCACTTGCCCTAAGACCAGCCCCGAAGAACACACAGCTCACACCCTGCTTTGGTGTGGTGTTAAGCCTTGAGGTAAACCTGCAAACTTTCCCTGTTCCTGCAGGACTGGGATGTTCTTTCTCAAGAATAGCAACAAAATGCAGGAGAGGACAAAATGACCCTGAGGGAGTCTTAAAAGATGACTAAGGACACGCCAGTGCTTGTCACCCCGAGGCACAACTGCCCTCTGCTCCGCTCTGATCCCAACCACAGGCACGCTCCTGCTCCTCCTTTCCGAGGGAGATACTGGCACCTACTGGAGACCAGTTTATATCCATGCTGAGGTGACGGGGAGAAAGGCAAGTATCCCTGTATATGAGAACTGGGCAGATTTTGAGAAGGGGTGGACTGTCTTGCTGCAGGGGCAGCCCTAGGAAGTGACCTCGGGGTGGCCCTCCAGGCTGGCTCCTGCCCAGAAAAACACTTGTGTGAACTCTTCCCTTTGAAAGACTTGCTGCTGTTTGAAACTCTGCTTACAGGGGGTTTGGCCAGGAAGGGCTCCTGGTGAGGTCCCAGAATATAAAAAGTGCTGGTTACATTTGTTTAGACAGAAATCCTCCTCTGAGGCAGCCCTGCCGAGTATGTAAAGCACAGGATGTTATCCTGCCTCAATTTACAGTGTCTGAGTGTAAGAGCAGGGATTGAAATACAGCTCAGTTACCCAGGAACAAAAGCCAAAAGAGAAGCTTTAAGGAGTTTATCAACTTCTGTATCTTCACATCATCCCACCACTTTTCAACAAGTTGAATTAGCAAATAACTTATGCAAGTTAACATTTACAAATATTAATGTACAAAGGGAGTTACTGCAGCAAGATGCTGCACAGGACAAAAATCTGTCTTTAGACCTGGCTTGGTCCTTGTTTGGGATTGCACAAACTGGTCATCCCTCAGCAGAATCCAGGCAGGGTCTCCTTGCTTGGGCTGTGGGACCTGCAGGAACCACCCAGCCCTGGCCCCTCAGCAGTAAGGGGGTGTCACTGCCTGGTGAAGTTTATTTGAGGTGTCTCTAAATAAAGGCACATCCTGTTATTTTGAGAAATAACAGCAGTCTCTTATCTCTTATCACCTCTACCAAAGCAGATCTGCTGCTGGAATTTTGAAGCCTGGCAGGAACACCCAGATAAGTGGGAAGAGCAGCAGGTGGCTCCAGGACACCTCCAGCCTCAGGTTGAACATGGAGAGACCCTGGACTGCTGGCACTCCTCCTGAAGTGGGATTATGCCAGCTGACTTCCCAAACAGCACTCACTGATGCCTTCCTTTCAGAGCAGAGGTATGCAATGTTTATTGTAGGAAATGTTATGTGCCCCAGACAGTGGGCATCTCCCAGCCAGGCGTTCTCTGGCTGCCTCCTTCTGTTGCCATGATACAGACACTCATGGTACTCCTTGAAGTGCTCAGCTTCCCAGGAGAGCCATAACACACTCACAGCAACATAATGTTTTTATTATTACAAAAGGTTTCTTCAGCAAACTGCCGTCTGTCACCTCTGTGTATCAAACATGGAAACAGCAAACAAACCCATCTAACTTATAGGTTATTTAGTGTCTCAGCTGGTGATTCAGGTAAGTACAAGTATTTTCCTTTTCCCCATCCATTCACTTCCTTGACTCCTTCCCCAACCAAGGCCCAAATCAGTCACAGACTGCAAGCAGCGGCTCCCAGTCCCACGGCTCATCGTGCCAGCTCCCGCAAGAAGAGCTGACCGCTGTGTTCCCCAAACGGGGCACTCCCACATCGTTAAATTCCAAATGCTCCTCACGCTCCAAGCTTTGCTACCTGGCTTTGTTTAACAGTCTCTTGAGCGAAGAGTTCAAGGGCACACTCTCCATACAGTCACGTTAATGCTTCGTGTTAACAAAATAAACATCTGCTCCTCCCCCGCCGCCAGCCGATGCCGGAGGAGATGCTCGCGCTCATGCAGTCACCGAGGTCCGAAAAAATGAGTAACAAAAGTCTCAACAGACCCGCTGTGCTTCTTCAGGGGATGATTCTGAGGCGTATCCGACGCACCCGTGCCGGAGACAACGGCGTGACGCAGCGCCGGGGCGAGCCTACACGCTGGCCTTGGGCGCGGAGCTGAGGGGGATCTCGCGCAGCTCTATCCGCATGCACAGGTACTCCCCGATGGCCGCCATCAGCGCCGTGCACACCGCCTGCACCAGCCACCACGTCAGCGTCGACGGCACGCGCGAGTTGTACGCCCAGCAGCCCAGCAGGTGGAAGAAGTGGACGGTGACCGTGAAATCCAGGCACTGCTTCCCGCGGCGGATGAAGTACAGCAAGGCCAGGGCGCTGCAGGAGCGAAGGCAAGAGGGGGGGGTGGGATGAGCTGGGCCGTGGAAAAAGGGGGTGCAGCAAGAGCTGTCAGCGGGGCTGGTTATTTAGCGGTTTTAAAACTTCTTCAAATGGTATAAGGGTAGGTTGGTTTTGACCTCTCTCCTGGCCACTGCAGCAGGACTTTTACATTCTTACAGCTTTTTAATTACACGATGGCAGGGAAAGGAGATTTTAGTGCAAAGAACAGGCGGGAATTTTTAAACTACCTCCCCCAGTAATCTCTGTGCAGTGGCAAAATTCATAAATCTTTACAGATCGGTGTTTGCTGAGACCCATTAATTCTAACTTTCAGCAAAATCTCTCACAGAAGCAAATCTCATTCCCAGCTGGGAAATCGAGGCAGTGAAGTGAAATGACTTTTCCAGGTTCTAGAAAGCCCGGAGTCAGCAGTTCCCAACTGCCCTCAGCAGACATGCTCAACCAGGCACAGGGATTTTGGGAGATGCTTTGAGAGAGGCGGGACATCACACTGGATTCTCTTATGGTTCAATGTTAAGGAAGGACAAGACGCAGGTGCTCCAGCTGGCTGCAGACTTACCAGGTGAGTGCATTGAGGATGAAAGCCATCATGGAGAGCCTCCCCGGCGGGGTTGAGAAGCCTAAAATCTACATGGGACTATTAGTAGGAACCCGCGGCACAAATCGCAGCCCAAAATCTGCTCCCGTGGCCCAGCCACATCAGCACGGCCCCACACGGATCAGGAACTACACCAGGAGCCTGGGCAGCTCTGTCTGTCTGGGGGTACCTACGGGAAAGGGAAAGGTCTGGTTCTATGCTGAGAGGAACCTCTTTGGGTGGGTGGGGTGTGTTCAAACTGGGGTTACCTATAAAGGCAGGTGTCTTTACACTGGGGTACCTACACAGGCTGTTTGTCTCTATAAGGGGGTATCCCCTATACAGCCAGGTGCTGTCTCTACACAGGGGTACCAACCCATACAGGGTGTCTGTCTCTATGGGGGTACTGTCTCTAACCCAGGGTACCATCTGCACATCGAGGTGCCGCCTCCACCTCGGCGCACCCCCTGTTCAAAGGGAGGGCTCTGCTCTGGGGGCACCTACACAGACAGCGGGTCTGTGTGCTGGGGGGGCAGCTACACGGGGCTGGGGGACCTCTGCCCTCACACCGGGGTGCTCCCTGGGCGGGGGGCTCTCCCTAACACCGGGAATGCCCGCACCGGGAGCGGGCTCCGACCTCCCCGGCACAGCCTCCCCCTCTCCGCCCCAGAGGCCTGTGTGCCCACGGCGGCTTCCCGGGGCGCGCCCTCACCTCGTCGCTGAAGACCTGCTGGAGGGAGGGCCCGGTGCTGCCCAGGGTGCCGAGGAGGGCGAGCCATAGCCCGAGCGAGCCGTAGTAGCCCGCCTGCAGCAGCACCATCTGCGCCACGATCAGCGCGGGGTCCCACACGTAGCTGCGGAACTGAGCCGCCATGGCCGGCCCGCCGCGCGCCCCCGCGCCGCGCCGCAGCGCCCCCTGGCGCGGGGGAGGACCCGGAGCCGGCCCCTCAGCCCCCCGAGCTCGGGGCAAGCGGGGCTCCTTTGCGCCTTCGCCGAGGGGTTTGATGTTTTCTGAAGGGCTGCTTGTACCTAAAGGGTTGTTACAATGAGCCACGCGAGCGGCGGCTGAGGGCGCTTGGCCTGTTCGGCCTGGAGGAGAGCAGGCCGTGGTCTCCGACACCCTCAGGCGGGGCAGCGCAGGGGCAGGCGCTGATCGCTGATCGCTGCTCCGAGTCGTGCCAGGGAAGTTTTGATACCAGAAAAAGGTTCTTCCCCCAGAAGGGTGCTCGGGCACCGAACAGGCTCCCCGGAGGGCAGTGGGCACGGCCCCAGGGCTGCCAGAGCTCCAGGAGTGTTCGGACAACGCTCTCAGGCACATGGTGGGATTGTTGGGGTGTCTGTGCAGGGCCAGGAGCTGGACTTGGATGATCCTTGTTGGATGATCAGTTCAGAATATTGTGTGTTTCTGTGTTTGTGAGCGCTGGGGTCAGTGGGGGCTGGGGCATCGCCCTGCCCCCTCGAGCACTGCCCAGGTGGCCGTGGCAGGGAGGGGACCCCGAGAGCCCCAGCACTGTTTGGTTTGTGACACGGAGAGGTTTGTCAGCCGTGGGTGGTGCCTGTGTGCTCTGTGCCCTCTGACCAACACCGGCTCTCTGGCATCCGCCTGCCCTGGGCATCCCCAGCCCTGCCCTCTGCCCTGAGCCACTGTATTCAGTAACCTGGCTGGCCAGCCCTTGCTAAACAGTCCCTGATGCCCTGCCATACCCCTTCTGTGATCAGCCCTTGGCTGCTGGGCCTTGTTTTGGTAGCCTCAGTGAGCTGTCCTGCTTGCTTGGCTTTAGATATGAGAATTGTCACTGTCTGAATAGTAAAATCCCCAAGGCTGTGTGGGACAGTGGAGCATTTTGGAGATAAGGTTTCCCCAGACCCCGCTCCCTGCCCATCTGCGCTAGTGTCAGTGCGTTCCATAACTTGGCAGAGCAGCCCTTGCTAAAAAGACACAAATACCAAACATAGAAGAAATTGTTGTCCAGGGATGTTTCCTTTCATCTGGAGGGCAGTTCCTGTAGGCACTGAGGCTGTTTGGCAGCTGCTGCCCAGCTGTGCTCATTTTTGAGCTTTAGGCCACTGGGCACCAGGATGTTGTTTTGATTCCTGGTGTGCCCTGGCAGCACCTTTCCATTACAGGGCTGGGTTGTGTGCAGGGCTTGGCTTCTTTTGGGAGGTTTCTTCTGGTGCACTGTGGTTTGTTCTCTTTAGCCTCATGAAATAGCCAGGTGCCAGAATCCCTCATGCTCTGCCATACCCCTTCTGTGGTCAGCTCATGGCTGCTGGAGCTCATTTTGGCGGCCTCAGGGAGACATCCTGCTTGCTTGGCTTCAGGTATGAGAATTGTCACTGTCGGAATAGCAAAGTCCCCAAGGCTGCTTGGGATAGTGGAACATTTTGAAGATCTTTGCTGGAAAAAGGAGAGGAGGCACCCCCGGGGTGTTTCGGTGGATGGGGGAGTTGCCACAAGAGCCATTGTCACCTGGAAAAGAGAGGAGGAGGACCAAAGGGGATTCCAGCTTCTATGGGAGGCGATAGGCCCACATCAGTCGTGGGTGTGGAATATGCTGGCTATGGGAACTCAGATTATGATCTCTGACAGTCTCTCATGACTTTTTTTCCATGCCTCATATGGGAAGTTCCCTAAGCAGCTTTGCTGCATGTTTTCCTTTCCTCACGCTGGGAATTTCACTGTGCCGAGGCAGGTTTGACACATTTTGTTCCTCGTTCCCGGACCTGCTCCTGGAAAGGATTGTGCAAGGCAGAGGCAGTGCGTGGTGGACTCGGGCCTTCGGAGAATTTATCTTTGCAGGAGCTCCAGCTCAGCCTGTGCAGAAATGAACACAGGAAAATCCCAGCCCTGTCAGGGCTGTCTGCTGACAGCACATTGCTGAGCATAAATTGTGACACTTGACACTTCCTCTGTTAATTCTAAGTAAAAAATTGGTTTCTTTTCCTGAAATCTGCTGGGCTTGGCTGTCATAGATGTGCAAGCCATCCCTTAGATATTAATTCTCACTCAGCTCTTTCTTTTATAGTCCCTTATAGGACTGACTTTCCCGTGCCAGCAGAAATTTTGGTTGTTTAGTCACGGCTGAGTAAAACTCCAACCTAGAGTGAGGGAGGACTGTTGGTATTAATTGCTGTGTGTCTTTCCACAGGCAAATAACTGATTGATCCAGAGGTCCCTGGGATCACAAGATGTGAGCTGGTGTTTTAAGGAGGGGTTGACTTGAATGCCTTCTGAATTTGAGGCTCCTCCCTGGTTGGCTGCTGGCCTGTAACTGAAGGCATTGCATGGGCACAGCAGCAGCTGAGCTTGAGGTGAGATTTGAGGCTCCTTCCTGCCCTGGGCTGGCAGAGGGTACCCCTATGATGTGGTGAAGTGCTGTGGCACAAAGACATCTGTGCCGAGACTCGGCTGCAGCCCCGTTTGTGAATTTGTTTCCTGGTTGACACTTGCGAGGGCATGGTCGTGTCTGTCTGTGCTCCTGATTCAGCTGTCCCTCCTCTCCAGGCTGCTCCAGCTTAGGGAACCACGTCCTTCTCCTGGAAAAGAGGGTGTTCTTCCCATGAGGAGCCTTGCCCCACAGCCCTGCTCTGTGGAAGAAGGTTTAAAGTGGACCTGGGAAGTAAACTGTACTGGGGCATTCTCAGTTTTCCTTTTCTTCCTCTTTAGTTCAAACAAAAGTCGGAGACAGCTGCGAAGAGAACATGTGTTAAAGGGGAAAAGGAAGCACTGAGATCATGATTTCTAGGGTGCTGCTTGCTCGGCTCCTGGTTAGAACATCCTTTTTTAAGCAGTGACTGTTTCGTGCGTGACACCTGCGTGTTGTGAAGAGCAGCAGGGGAAGGAGAAGTGGCAATGTGCCCAGGACAGAGCAGATGACCAGAGGGTGTACCCGGATCACATGCAACTATTGTGGTCACTTCTTTATCAGGAGTGTGGAAAAAGAATGCCCTATTTAGCCAGGAATTCTTTCAGTGAGAAATAGCTGTCTAGGAGGGTATTGTTTTTCCTCCTCAGGAATCATTGCCTAAAAAAGGAAGCTGTTTATTTAGGTGATCCATACTTTACTAGCTGGTGTACAAAGGGTGGTGCTGTCTGAATGATCCCTGCTGGGGTTGTTTCCCTCTTGCCAGGCGGGTAGGACTTGTGCTAAGGTGACCTTTGCCAAAGGGACAGTAAGGCTAAGAGCACACATTTCCAGAATAAGATGGCATTAAGTGCCTCAAAGTGCGGGATGAGAGTGTTCAGTCACTCCTCTTCCTCCACCCATGTGGTGTGCAGGTGTGTTTTTCCAAAGAGTACAGAACGGGCTTTGGGAGTTGAGATTTTTTTCAAAACTCTTCTTAAGGTTTCTTTGTGCTCAAGAGCCCTGCCCCGAGCGTGGTTTAAAATCTGCCTGTAGGAGCTGTGCTGAGCTTGGCTGGAGAATCTCTGTTCCTGGCTACTGCAGTAGCATTTATCATCTAGAATTGTCTAAAGGGCCCCATGTGTGGCCTTCTCAAGACTATCTAGACATTTCTTAAAGTGTCATGTAGAAATGTGATTCCCCTCACCCTCCAAATGTGGCATATTCCAACACTCCCTTCCACTTCCAGCATGTTTGCATTGTGTTGGTGACTGACAGCTGTTTATTTTTTATTTTCTAAATGAGAGTTAGGTAACCCTTCACATTGAGCACGGGGTTAGGAACAATGGTGGCCAGCCTGTGTTATTTCTCTGCCAACCGTAATTTTTAAAAGAAGACGGGAACTGACACACCTTGAACGTTAAAATTCATTGCCCAGAACAAATGTGTTTCTCAACATGCATTTTATTTTTCTTCTGCTTCTCTCCCTTGTAGTTTAGTAGTTAGTCATTTCAGGAAATGACATTTTAGTGGTGCCTTTTTGCTTGCTGGGCCCATGTGTCCTGTTGCTCTCCGTGAATTGGATATACCCAGGGATTTTCTGTGTTATTCCAGGCAGGAGAATGTCGGCATTTTGAGACTGAACATTTGAAGGGCAAACTGAAGGAAGCTGTTCTATGGCCATGGGTTTACAGAACCATATTATGATTTTAGTGACTGCATTTCCTCTGAGTCTCTTGAGGTACAGTCACAGAACGTTTCCGTGTGCGTGAGGAAGGGAGGCGGATCTACACAATGCACTTTGAAACTGCCATTGGTAAAGTTACATACATTTGTTCTCAAGGTTGGAAAGTACATTAGGGTCAAGTTTTAATTTTCTTTTCTGTTTTCAGGAGTCCAGGATCAGTTTGCTTGAGGGACTGTGCATGCAGGTGTGACTTGGATGGACAATGTGTGTGGTCCCTGGGCCAGGCAGACTGACTCCTCTCCATTCTGTCAAAGCAGGACTTCCCCAGGAGGGAAAATACTGTGCCATGCAGGGGAAATTTTTGGTGGAGTGGGTGTGTGTTGAGGGGAATGACAACCAGGAGCAGTTCAGGGTAATGTGCTTGTTTGGAGAGGAAGTTAACAGGCGAGTGAGCAGGGGTTGTGGCCACAATACAGAAAGCTGGCTTTGAAAGCATCTTTGTGGTGGCTGCTTTACCTGGAAGGACATGTACAGAGGTCATGGCCATGTGCACACAAATAGAGGTGGCATTTAGAGGGTTAGGGGCCATGGAGTGCTTCTGGCCACCTTGTGCCGCCGAGGCTGTCTCCTGTCTGGCAGATGTTGTCATGGTATGGACCAGTCTTTGCACATTCAACATGTGTGATCTTCTCCGTCTCCACTCCTGCTGCCCACCTCAGCTGGGTGTCCAGAGCTGGAGGTTCACTGGAGCTGGGCTCCCTGACCACACCAGGAGTGACTTTCATCAGCTCCTCTGTGTGACGAAGTGAGGGTAATAAGGAAGGATAATAACCCAGCCCACAGTGCAGATCCCTCCCTCCCGGCCTTGGGTGCTGAGGTT